TTAATTTTTTTCTCTATCAAAAGATAACCGGGATGTTCCAAGTTTCATTCTATATGAGGTTTCTATAAGAGCTAAAGGAGTTGATTGTTGATTTGTTATCATTTTTAATTTTTCTGCCAGCATCAAAACTTAATTGTTGAAGTTTTCTTTGGAAAGAATTAAATTATGAATTTTTTCTATAGACATTTTGTATTTTTATCAATATTAAATCTCTGTATAAAACATTTGGCTTCAGTTCTTCAGGGCAAGATTTTTCCTTCTTTTTTAACCCATGTTGCCTGACTCTGCTCTCACTTTCTGACATTTTAACGGTCAAGTATCATTGAAAGGAACGCTTTGTATCTGAATGTAAATCTGTTAATAATTGCAACTTTATCATAAAATTATTCTTAAATAATTCATTTGGGGGTAAGGTAGTAAAATCTTCTGGAGGATGGAATATGAAAAACTAGTTATGTTGGAGGATTTAACTTAATAGAAATATGTACTTTTATTTTTAGTTAAAAATTTGCTTCTTATTTTGAATTTTTGCTTTTGTTTCTTAGAATAAAGATATTAATTCCTTAAAAAAAGGGGGGGGTCTGCGGGTTGTGCCTGTGGCTCAGTGGGTAGGGCACAGGCCCCATATACCAAGAGTGGCGGGTTCAAACCTGGCCCCAGCCAAACTGCAACAACAACAACAAAAATAGCCAGGCATTGTGGCAGGCGCCTGTAGTCCCAGCTACTTTGGAGGCTGAAGCAAGAGAATCGCCTAAGCCCAGGAGTTGGAGCTTGCTATGAGCTGTGATGCCACGACACTCTACTGAGGGCAATAAAGTGAGACTCTGTCTCTTAAAAAAAAAAGGGGGGGGTCCACTACCCTGGCTCAAGTGGTTTGTTGTGTATATTGCAGACCTGCAGGCATGTCTTGCATAGCTTTAGGCCTGTTAATGAGCTGTGAAAAGGCTGTGTGGTGGCTCACCCCAGCTGAGGCAGGTTTCCAGACCAGCCTGAAAAAGAGCTAGACTCCATCTCTAAAAAATACCCCAGGATTAGGGTGGGTGCCTATAGTCCCCGCTACTTGTGAGGTTGAGGCAAGGGGATTGCTTGAACTCAAGAATTTGAGGTTGCTGTGAGCTATGACAATAGCACTCTACCCAGGGCAACAAAAGTAAGACTCTGTCTCAAAAAAAAAAAAAAGAGTTGTAAAGGGTATCTCCTAGAAGGAAGGAGAGCATGATCTGACCTCCTTTCTCAGAGCTAGCAACTCTGTTTTAGGGATCCCTTTGACTAAGAGGGGATCCAGTCAGTCAGCCACAGGGGTGAAAGGAGCGGCTTCATTCCTAAAGTCCCTCTAGCAGGCAACACAAGACCCTCTGGGAGGTGCCACTGGTATTGTATAATGAAATAGAATAAAACAACAGTAACTACAATAGCAAGCAGCTACTATTTACTGAACAATTACGCTATCTCATTTAATCACAATTCTATGAAGTAGGGTCTATTATTTCCATTATTTGCTCCAAATGAGAAAACTCGGACAAGTTAAGCAACTCATCCAAAGTCTTACAACTGGTAAGTGGTAGAGGTGGATTTCAAACCCAAGTCTATCTGGCTTTTGGTACACATATTCTCATATTCACTGGTCTGCACAGTAGCACCAACTGCCATTGACCACAACTGACCAGTTTCTGGGTACTGCCCCCCTGTCTGCAGGCCTGATCACTTAGCCAGGCCTCTATTTTCTTTTCTTTTTCTTTTTTTTTTTTTTGGAGACAGAGCCTCAAGCTGTCCCCCTGGGTAGAGTGCTGTGGCATCACAGCTCACAGCAACCTCCCACTCCAGGGCTTAAACGATTCTCTTGCCTCAGCCTCCCCAGTAGCTGGGAACACAGGCACCCACCATAACACTCAGCTATTTTTTTTTTTGGTTACAGTTTGGCCAGGGCAGATTCAAACCCGCCACCCTTGGTATATGGGGCAGGCACCCTACTCACTGAGCCACAGGCACCGCCCCTAATATATATTTTTTTAAATTTCAGATAATAAAGGATACATACGATTAGGTCACATTGTTTGCCTCTGTTAGGTAACATCTGAGTGGTAGTTGAGTCCTTCACCCAGGAGGTATGTGATATACCCCTGCATTGTACTGTTAGCTAGGAGCTTACCAACCCCTTACCCTATTTTTTTTTTTTGCCGTTTTGGCCAGGCAGGGTTTGAACCCGCCACCCTCAGTATATGGGGCCGGCACCCTACTCCTTGAGCCACGAGCACTGCCCTCCCCTATTCTTTTTTTTTGAGTCTCACTTTGTAAACCTGGGTAGAGTGCCCTAGTATCATAGTTCACAGCACCCTCAAATTCTTGGGCTCAAGCAAGACTCTTGCCTCAGCCTCCTAAGTAGCTGAGACGACAGGCACCCATCACAACGCCCAGTTAGTTTTTTGAGGGATGGTCTCCGACTCCTGAGCTCAAGTAGTCTACCATCTCGCCCTCTCAGAGTGTTAAATTACAGCCCAGAGCCACAACATCCAGCCCCTATATTTTTATTTATTTTATTATTATTATTGATTATTTTGAGACAGAGTCTCAAGGTGTCGCCCTCAGTAGAGTGCTGTAGTGCCACAGCTCACAGCAATCTCAAACTCTTGGGCAGGGGTCCTCAAACTTTTTAAACAGGGGGCCAGTTCACTGTCCCTCAGACCGTTGGCGAGCCGGACTGCGGGCCCCTGGACGAGTTGGCTGCTAAGCAGGACAGGCAGAGGTGGCAAAAACACCCGGCAGGACGGATAAATGTCCTCGGCTGGCCGCATGTGGCCCACTGGCTGTAGTTTGAAAACGCCTGCTCTTGGGCTTAAGCAATTCTCATGCCTCAGCCTCCCAAGTAGCTGGGACTACAAGGGCCCACCACAATGCTCGGATATTTTGATGTTGTTGTTGTAGCTGCTGTTGTTTGGCAGGCCCAGCCCAGGTTCGAACCCACCAGTCCTGGTGTATGTGTCCAGCACACTAACTGTTGAGCTACAGGAGCAGAGCTGTCCTTATTTTTTTAATTGAAAAGAACATTAAGATTTAGAGGCAAATTCCAGAATTGTAAAGAAAAAGAAAGAAACTGCTGGCTTGGCGCCTGTAGCTCAGCGGCTAGGGCGCCAGCCACATACACCGGAAACGGAGGGTTCAAATCCAGCCTGGGCCTGCCGAACAATGACAACTACAACCAAAAAATAAAGCCGAGCATTGTGGCGGGCGCCTGTAGTCCCAGCTACTTGGGAGTCTGAGACAAGAGTATCACTTAAGCCCAAGAGTTGGAGGTTGCTGTGAACTGTGACACAATAGCACTCTACCAAGGGCCACAAAGTGTGACTCTGTCTCAAAAAAAGTAAAAGAAACTGCTAAGAAATTCCGTGGTTGTGAAGAAGAATTCAGACTCCAGGCTCGGCTCCTGTAGCTCAAATGGCTAGGGTGCCAGCCACATACACCGGAGCTGCTGGGTTCGAATCCAACGCGGGCCTGCCAAACAACAATGACAACTATAACCAAAAAAATAGCTGGGCGTCGTGGCAGGCGCCTGTAGTCCCAGCTACTCGGGAAGCTGAGGCAAGAGGATCACTTAAGCCCAAGAGTTTGAGGTTGCTGTAAGCTGTGACTGTTGTAGGAAGACGAGTCCCAACGGAGAGAAAGACCACCCAAACACTATAGTTATAAGAGGAAGGGCTTTATTCATCAGCCGGGAGCTTATGGCATAGATGATTTCCAAATGGCCGTGCTCCCTGACTGGCTTGGTCTTTCCCTTTTTATTGACAGCCAAAAAGTTCCACCCCACAGGTACCCTTCCCATTGGCCAGTTTGAATCAAGTGGGAGATGCTACTCCAGCCCCTACAGAACTACAGGATTTCACAGAACTTGGAAATTTCCAAGTTCCAGGAGGTTAAGCCTATAAATTCCCACGAGCTGAGTGACCATGGAGAGGGCCCTGCAGGTGCATCTTCACAGTCTCCCTAAAAAGACCTGTTCTTCTGGACCTCACCCCTCTCCAGTATCCTCTCTCATGACGACACACTACTCAACCCAGGGCAACAGTTTGAGACTCTGTCTCAAAAAAAAAAAAAAAAAAAAAAAGAATCCAGACTCCTCCCCTAACACAGGCTGAGTCCCTGCGCTGTGAAGGATAAATGTAAGGTGACCAGACGTCCCGCTTTTGGCGTGACAGTCCCACTTTTTAACAATTTGTCCTGCTTCCCGCGGCGTTTTAAAGAAGTCCCGATTTTTGGAAAGAATGCACAAACCGGCGGCAGAACAGGAAGGGAATATACGGTTTTCAGCTGCCATGTGGCTATTTCACCAGAATATGGGTTTTATATTATTTTTGTTAATTTTATAATGTTAAACTGTAATAATAACAAATAATTGTTGAGAAGTGATTATCGAGAACTGCTTATCAAAGTTTGCCTTGTTGTCAGGCCCTGCCCTGCCCCGTCCCCTGCCCCGCCCCCCGCCCTGTTGGCCCGCTTTACAAATGTTAAAATCTGGTCACCCTAGATAAGTGAGAACTCAGCGCCTGGCACCGAGTGAAAGCAGCTATTGTGATCTCCCGGTCCAGGGAAGGAAGGTTCAGACCCCCAGCGTGTGACCCGGCATGAGGCCCTGGGAAGGAGCAGCCCGGGGTTCTCACTGCACTCTCTGAGACCGGGTCTGGGAGGGAAGGTGGAGCATATAAAGGGCGGAGTCACTTTGCCCGCCCCTTTTCTCCCGCTCATCTCCAGCTCTGGATCCGCGTGGTTCTCGCTACTCGCGACTCAGACCCAGTGGCCGTCAGGCAGCTCCAGGTTGAAGCGGAGCTACAGGAGGAACCGACCCTTCTACAGGTCGGCTGGCAATCTCTCCCTGGAAAAGAGCCAGGGACGCGCTCTGTAAGAACTGGACTCCACCAGCCTCTGACCACCTGCCTGGGACTGAGAGCTCCAGAGCCGCGAACCGTGAGTGGCCCCCAAAGGACACGTCGAGGTCACCTTCCCCCACCATGGCTGCGCCTGCCCGCCGTCTGTGCCACATCGCCTTCCACGTGCCCATGGGGCAGACTCTCGCCGTGGACCTGCAGCGTCTCTTTGGCTTCCAGCCCCTGGCGGCGCGGGAGGCAGACGGCTGGCGGCAGCTGGCCCTGCACAGTGGCGATGCTGTCTTTTTGGTAAACGAGGGCACGGGACCTGGGGAGCCTCTGTACAGCCTTGACCCGCAGCACATGGTGCCCAGCGCCACGAACCTGTGCTTTGACGTAGCGGACGCAGGTGCAGCCGCCCGAGCGCTGGCTGCTGGGGGCTGCCGCGTGCCGGTGCCTCCTGTCAGTGTGCAAGATGCACAGGGCGCAGCCACCTACGCTGTGGTTAGTTCGCCTGCCGGCAATCTCAGCCTGACCTTGCTGGAGCGTGCAGGATACCGGGGGATCTTCCTCCCCGGCTTTGAGCCCGTGCCCTCCGCTCCGGGCCCCGGCTGGATCAGCCACGTGGACCATCTGACCTTGGCCTGCACCCCTGGCAGCTCCCCCACACTCTCGCGCTGGTTCCACGACTGCCTGGGGTTTTGCCACTTGCCGCTGAGCCCAGGTGAGGATCCGGAGCTGGGCCTCGAGGTGGCAGCAGGGTCTGGGCGTGGGGGGTTGCGGCTCACTGCCCTGCAGACCCCAGCAGACAATGTTGTTCCCACCCTGGTGCTGGCTGAGTCCTTGAGGGGGGCCACCCAAGGACAGGACCAGGTGGAGCAGTTCCTGGCCCGGCACAGGGGGCCAGGCCTGCAGCATGTGGGGCTATATACACCCAACATCATGGAGGCCACTGAGGGCGTGGCGCGGGCCGGGGGCCAGCTCCTATCTCCTCCTAAGGCCTACTACCAGCAGCCAGGCAAAGAGAGACAGATCCGAGCTGCAGGGCACGAGCCTAGCCTTCTGGCCCAACAGGGAATCCTGCTAGATGGTGATAAAGGCAAGTTCCTGCTTCAGGTCTTCACCAAGTCCCTCTTTGCTGAGGACACCTTCTTCCTGGAGCTGATTCAGAGACAGGGTGCCACAGGTTTTGGCCAAGGCAACATTAGGGCCCTCTGGCAGTCTGTGCAGGAGCAAGCTGCCAGAAACCAGGAAGCTTGAGAAGGGCCAGGGCCACCAGTCCTGAAGCTCTGGGGCCAGCTGAAACTGAGGAACACCCACAGGAGACCCAGCTAGTGAAAGGTTTTGCTTTCAGGGGCTAGGTGTGACCTCCTCAGTTCAGTACCTGCAGTTATAAAACTATGGGCCATGCATATGCACAATATAAGAAATAAAAGAATTATGCCTGCAGGAAATAGAACATAACCAGTATTTTTGAGGTCACCTTGAATTCCCGAATCTTTTTTTTTTTTTTAAGATACAAAGTCTCACTTTGTGGCCCTCAGTAGAGTGCTGTGAAGTCACAGCTCACAGCAACCTCCAGCTCTTGGGCTTAGGTGATTCTCTTGCCTCAGCCTTCCGAATAGCTGGGACTACAGGCGCCTGCCACAACACCCTGCTATTTTTTTGTTGCAGTTTGGCGGGGGCTGGGATTGAATCCACCACCCTTGGTATATGGGGCCAGCACCCTGCTCACTGAGCCACAGGTGCCACCCTTGAATTCCTGATTCTATTTCCTTGCCACTCACCACCCAAATTCTGTGATTATGAATCTCTTTCCTATATTGTTTCACTACATATGTATCCCTAAAAAAATGATTTTGTATTTGAAGTAGGAATTTAAGATAGAACAAATCCTCCTCTGTGCTTCCCCTTTCCCACTGCAGGTGGGGAGAGGCTGGGTCAGGATTGAGCCCAACCACCTAGGGTGATGCCTCTGCTCCAGTCAGAGCTGACCAGAAACCTAGACGGAGGGTGTTAGGTATCAGCCACGGCCAGGTGCTCCCTGCAGCTGCCTTCACCCTCTCCTGGGGGTTGGGGGAAGAGATCATTCTGGACAGAACACTCCTCTTCCATCTGCCCAGCACTGGCTGAGAGCTCAGGTGTAGAAGTCAGGACCAAGCTGGACTTCACTACAAGTGAGGGGGTTAGGGAGAGGTATAAAGCTTTCCAAAATGACTATAAAAATAAGTACTTTATTAACAGCAGGATTTTCAGGAGTGGGCTCTCCCCATTCCTCAGCTGCAGTGTTGGGGATGGGTGCATCAATGGAGATATAGGGCCGAAAGAAGCTATCCAGGACTTGCTGGCCCCGGCTGGTCTTTTTCCAGCTGGATGGAGTGGACACCTGGGACCTTTTGGAACCCTGTGCAGAAGCCAAAGTAGGGAGGTACTGAGGAGGGAGCACAGGGAACCTTTTCCTTCCATGTACTTCCTACACTTTACTGATATAGCTCAGGTTCTAGCCTGGAACGCTGTTGAGCTTTCAGTCTACCTCCAGTCTCTGCCTCTTCAATCAACTCTCCAAAATGCTGCCCCAGAGAATCTTCCCAAAACGCAAATCTGACTCTCTCCACCTAAACTGTTTCCAAGTGATGTGGTGCTTAAGCCCTAACTGGGCTAGGCGGCCTTCCTGACCTCTCCTGATAAACCAACTGATCACAGCTCCTTGAGTGCTGCAGATTGTATTATGAACCACCTTTGCTTATACTGTTCTTGGGCCTGGAAAGAACATCCTTACTGGCCAGGCACTGGCTCGTGCCTATGATCCTTGCACTCTGACAGGCTGAGGCAGGAGGATTGCTTGAGCTTGCTCAAGACCAGCCTGAGCAACAGTGAGACACCTCCTCTACTAAAAATAGAAAAAAAAAAAAAAAAACTAGCTGTGCCTTGTGGGGGACACCTGTAGTCCCAGATACTTGGGAAAGAGAAGCAAGAAGGTCGCTTGAGCCCAAGAGTTTGAGATTGCTGTAGGCTATGATGATGGCAATGGCATTTTACCCAGAGCAATAGAGAATCTCTCAAAAACTAATGAACATCCTTATCATTGATTCCTTTCCCAAATCTGGACAAAACAAATCATTTCTGGGGCCCAGATTACTTCCTCCAAACAGACTTTCCTGATCCTTGCCTCCCAGATAGAACTGATGGTTCCCTACCTCATATTCCACAAAACCTAATACACACATTTCACATACCTGTGACACTGGACTGTTGCCTGTCAGTCTGCTCCTGTCCCCCTACACTGCCAGGTGCTCAGATCAAGAAGTATTCCTCTTCCCCAGTGAAGCCCGGAGTAGAGATTCACCCAAATGTGCATCACTTAACTGAAAACCATGGACCCAGGCCTGGGGAGAGATGGCTGGGTGAGGACAGAGACACACCTTGCATGTCCCTGGCTGCTGCCCCTCATACACATGAAACACCTACCCAAGAAGAGATGGGGAAGCCAAATCCTGTTTCCTTCCCTCAACTTCATACCCTAGCACTTCTGTTTAAAATAAGTTTTTTTTAAATAAGATGAAAGCTATGTTAATTAGTTGGATGTAAGCACTCCAATTTGTACAAATAGTCAACACATTGAATCCCACAAAGGCATAAATGTATTCTTGATCTATGTATATATGACTTAATAAAAGGAAAAAAATAAAATATGCTTTTTTGTCCTGTTTATGCAATAATAGACTCATGTAGAACATTTAGGAAACACAAAATACAACAGAGACAATAAATGTAGTGCCTTTTTTATGGCAGTGAGGACAGCTACTGTGTGAAATTCCTCCCATGTCAACCAGCAAGTGTCAGGTGGTGTGCTGGTCACTGGGGTTTGTTCCTCCATGGCCAGACCATATTCTTGGTATGTCAGGCTTAATGTGAGAGAAGATGTGGACCACCTGCAGGGAGGGCCTAGGGGCTTAAATAGCCTGTGGATATGGCCTCAAAAGCCATTATTCCTGGTACCTCCCCAAGTGCTAAAGGCAGCCCTCTGGGAGGGGCCCGGCCCAATTCTGCAGTTCCTGCAGCAGGGCCTTGTACTGATGCTTCTCTAAGGGCTTCAAGGTCACAGATGGGAACTCCCACAGTCCTGCCAGCAGACCAGAGAGAGAGGGCAGCCAGGTAGCAGTGAGGCCTTACTTAGCTGCTTACTCCTTCAACCCTCTCTTGCTGCACACGCCTCTGCTCTCCAGTATCTGACTTGGGCTGCTGTACCAGCAGAATTTGGGGACCCCAAGGACCGTGGGCTGTTCTGTGGGAGGTGGGCACAGTTGGCATTGGCCAGTGTTAGGAGCTGGGAACAGAAATCCCCAAGCTCCATTCAGGCCAAGAGGGTTTAGGTGCCAAGCCCAGAGAGCAGGCCTGAGCCTGGGTCGGCAGAACCTTACTCAGGTTATAAAGGAATTAACATGGGGTTTCTGCACACAGCTCCCTGACGGTGCCAGGAAAGGCAAGGGCAGGGGTTAGGGCTGGCGCTCACCACACTCCTCTATGTCAAGACTGCCCAGCAGACGCTGTGAGACAGAGCTGCTCTGGCTCAACCTGAGAGGTGTAAGGTGTGGTGTCATGGGGCAAGGGTCACTCCCTAGGACCCCTCACTGCCCCTTCCCCAGGAAGCCCACTTTCTGATGTGCCTGGCACAGGCCCTGCACAGGGCACTGGCTCCATGCCTGTTTGGTTGAAGTCCCTGGCCAAACTGGGTCCACCAGCTGCTGGGCTACACTCTTATGAGAAAGGAAGAAGGTGGCAGAGTGCTCGTAGCTCAGCAGTTACGGCGCCAGCCACATACACTGAGGCTGGCCAGTTCGAACCTGGCCTGGGCCAGCTAAACAACAATGACAACTACAACAAAAAATAGCCGGGTGTTGTGGTGGGCACTTGTAGTCCCAGCAACTTGGGAGACGGAGGCAAGAGAATGGTTTAAGCCCAGGAGTTTGAGGTTCCTGTGAGCTGTGATGCTACTGCACTCTACTGGGGGCAGCACAGTAAGACTCTCTCACAAAAAAAAAAAAAGGAAAGGAACATAGCTGTGAGCCAAAGCCCCTTGACAGATACCCTTCCCATTATCCCAATATCCTACCAGAGCTGCTGGGAGACAATAGTAGTGCTGCTGAGATCAGCACCAATGGTTCAAACACAGTACAGCACCTGTACTACATTCCCGTCCACCACACTGCTGCCTGCCACAGAGGAACTGAAGTCAGTCTGGGCTGAAAGGAAGGAGGGTGGACATGCACAAAGTGGAGGTGGGCTATGGACTCACCTGGCCAAAGGCAATGGAAGCAATGGCCCCAGCTGTGTACCGCCCCACACCGGGCAGGAGCTGCTTCAGAGCCTCTGCTGTACGTGGCATGTGACCCCCTAGCTCTTCTACTACCTGACTGGGGTGGGAAGACTCAAGGTCATGAGACATTCAAGGCCACTAGACTCCCACCCTCCTGCTACTTTCTTACCTTCCAAGCCCCCTCCTGCAGTCACCAGCCTCGAGAATAGTAGCCCAGGCCAGCCCAGAGCTGGTTTACCTCCTGTGGAAAACATCAGAGAGCAAAGAGATCACTAAGTGTCTCCATTCCCTCTAACCTAGTGTAGTTTTCACCTCCACAGAAGCACTGCCCAGGTCCTGTAGTGCAGGCAAAAAGAGATGAGGTCAAAGGTGAGAGTCGTAGAAACCTCATATTTACCCCAAAGTACAGATTCTCATCTGGGATCTGACCCATGACCACCTGCCCCTTTCTCCCTTGGAGTCACCTGCATCCATCGGGTATAGTAGTTGATCACCGTGGCAACCTGGGTCTGCTGCAACATATCCTCTGAGGTCCACACTGGGAAAGAGGGGTTGGCATGAGGACACTGCTGATCTATCTTCATTCTACCCCTTAGCCCCCAGACCCAGGGGCCTCAAGGCAAAGTCGCCCTGCTCTCAGGAGCGGTACTGACCAACATACGCACGCTTGTCTAGGTCCACTTCATGCTCCGCCTATTAATGAAACCCCAGATAAGGAGTTAGTGTGGAGGGGGTTGGGTGCCAGCCTCCCCTTCCACTGTCCCTCACCTGCCTACCTGTCTTCTCCAGGGTAGGTCCCACTTCTCTTGGTCATACCAGCTCAGCAGGTTTCTCTGGAAGGCTGTGACTTCAGCTGTGTCTCTGAACAGATGGTATGAGCAGATGGAGGCCTGCAGTACCACCTCTTCCGGCTGCCTGGCCAGATTTGCTGAGACCTCAGGACAGTCAGGAATTGTCCCTGCACAGCCTATACACCAAGGACCCAGCACACAGCAGCTATAGCAGTGTGTTCCCACTTAGGCATTCCTCCACCCCAAATCTTGCTTAAGCTTTGGAGCTGGAGTCAGACCAGAGTTGTGTGTAGCCATGACCAAGTTTCTGGCCTTAATTTTCTCAGGGTGGTACTGTAGGCTCTTTTGTTTCTGGGCCAAAATCTAATAGTTTCAGCCAGGCATAATGTGTATCTGTGTAGGGCTTTCTCATTTCTAAAACACTTTCAGGCTCATAAAGTCCATTTGATCCCATGAAAACTATGAGGGAGGAAATAAAGCTACTGCTTCATTTTATTTTATTTTGTGTGTGTGTGT